TATGTGATGGAATGTTAATGTCAGCAACCTCTTTATTTACGCACCAAGGAAAAAGGAGTAGTAATTAACACTTTGACACTCCCCCATTGATGTGTAATTGACTGTTTCAAAGGAGCACTGGTTCATAAGCTATTGCATGCATTAAAATTGCGTTTTCTATATTGCAGCATTTTAAGACAGGGGTCAGTGACAATGCAGAAATTGCTCAATGATGCACATTTTTTTATTACTGCATTAAGGTTTTGACATATTAGTAATGAATAAATGTTTCCATAAAATTAGATTTTTTATAACTTTAAAATTGAAATATGACACAGCACACTGTGACTTCCTCTTTAAAGGTAGTATTCTAGCTTTATGAAACAAAGCATAGCTTCCTGCAAGTCTTTAACCCGTACTTCACTGACTTAATAGTTTGATTTTTCAGAACAGGAGTCCTAAAGGCTTTAAATTTGGCTCTGTTTTAAGGTGACTTTAAACATTGATTTGAAGTGTTTTTAGACATTACGTTTCCACATTTAACATAGATAATGATTTTATGTAATTCATTCCAGAAATATTCTTCATTCCTCTGATAAGTTTTTATTTCAAGAGTATTTTAAATCATATTTTAGAAATTTTAGGAGTTTCTATCATCATATTGAAATAGAACTGTATATGACCATTGAACTGGGAATGTTCAAGTAATTTTTGGGAAAATCTTTAATACTTGGTCTCTGATAGGAAAAAAACTCATAACATTGCTAATTAATTGTGCCAGCTAGAAATCAAATTCCCTCATTTGCTATTTGTATCTTAAATATCTATTCAAATTAATGATCTTCTATTAGAAATTTGTTTATGTAAGATGCTTTTCACAAAAGCATTTTATTAAATGTATATATTTTTGGTTTTAGATGTATATCTAGACATTTACTACAGCTAAAAGTCTGGTTACAAATGTCTAGATTCTACAGGTGGCAATTGGTTTGTCAAAACATTTTCTTTTATTAACACTGACAACTTGGGCCAACAATAGCATCATCTTGTGTCAACTGAATTGCCCTAACATGTCCACATGTAATCTGGTGTTATCCAGTTGCTACCTTCTTGCTTCAGAAAGTTAATCAGAATGTAATTTGCATTTGTTAATTAGGGTTAATGTGCACTAATTGATTTTTTGATGCTTGTAGATTTCCATTAAACCCAGTTAGCAATACTTACTTGTGTACCTCATTCATTTGAGTTATGATGATCATGTTTTTGTTGAATCTGTGCCAAATAGGAAGCCTGAATAATAATTACAGCTAATTAACAGACAATCATGCTCTATAATAATGGGCTTCCCCAGTCTTCCACTAATATATGAATGTTATAAATTTCAAATTTGTTTATGGAGTGCTTAGATAACTTTTTTAACAATACAGACTTGAAGCTCTGAATTATTAGAGGGAACATGATTGATTATTTGCAAATTTTACATTGCAAATTTGAAAGTTCAGAGAAAAGGAACATATAAATCTAGGTTAGTTTTAAAAACTTGTTTTCATAATTTAGCATCCAAACAAGTATATATAATAATGTGTTATAAGTCTGCTTCTGCTTAGACCAGGTTATAATTTGGATATTTAGGATTTATAAATTTTTTTTCATTTATAGTCCTTTATTTTATAATTGAACTTATATTTTAGGTCTAGCACTGCCTACTGTAAGTCATTTAATCTCTTTGCTCCTTAGTTTTTTTGTTTTTTTTTTTGAGACAGTGTCTCGCTTTGTTGCCTAGGCTAGAGTGAGTGCCGTGGCGTCAGCCTAGCTCACAGCAACCTCAAACTCCTGGCTCAAGCAATCCTTCTGCCTCAGCCTCCCAAGTAGCTGGGACTACAGGCATGTGCCACCATGCCCGGCTAATTTTTTCTATATATATTAGTTGGCCAATTAATTTCTTTCTATTTATAGTAGAGACGGGGTCTCGCTCTTGCTCAGGCTGGTTTGGAACTCCTGACCTTGAGCAATCCGCCCGCCTCGGCCTCCCAGAGAGCTAGGATTACAGGCGTGAGCCACCGCCCACCGCGCCCGGCCTTAGTTTTGTTTTTTAAAGTGAAAGGATCAGGACTAGATAATTACTTAAGTTTCCTTCTATGCTTAACAAATTGTGATCTGAATAATTGTTAATAGTATGTTTCATTAGAAATTATAATGCAGAATTTGAATTATGTATTCAGTTTTCTACTTTTGCCTTATAAAGAACAATTATTGTGGTTATTAGTACTGTTTAGTTTTATATTGTACTAACCATATTGGCCTATAAATGGTAAACAGATTTTGTCAGTTTTAAATTTTAAGTATTAAATCCAAAGTGACCTGAAGCAAAGTGGAATGTTTTCATAACTAAAAATGATTATGAAAATATTTTAAAACCTCACATTTGCCAGCACTACTGACACAGAAAAACCACTAAGTAGCTAAGGCTTGTTTTTAAATGAAAAGGTGTTAGTGAAAATAAGCTTAGGTAATTCACTAAATAGAAAACATTCTCATGAAATGTACTTTGTAGATTTTGTCTCCTAAAATAACTATGAACAATATAAAACATACAAAACTTTTAGGGCCTAAAAATAATTTTATAGCCCATTCTTAACTTTGAACCTATCACCTGTGGCACTAGTAATAAAGAAATATAGTTCTAGAAAAATAACTTTAAATACTTTGTAACTTCATTGTGGGGTCAGTTTATGGTTTGTAAATGTAAGAAATTTTGTCAAAATTATCCTATATAAGTGCTCAAATGGTAATTTCCATAACTTGAGATATAAGTGTATATAGGTCTTGACTAATTAGTATGGATACTCATCAGGCTTCACTGTTATGTTATTTAGGTCTATTACATGAACAGAATATGGCAAAAATGAGACTACTTACTTTTATGGGAATGGCAGTGGAAAATAAAGAAATTTCTTTTGATACAATGCAGCAAGAACTTCAGATTGGAGCTGATGATGTTGAAGCATTTGTTATTGATGGTAAGGGCAGATAGAACATTTTCATTTATTTCTAGAATTTCTCTTCTGTGTGAACATAGTAATATTTTTATCTTGAAACCGAGCCTTATGCTGACCAAGATTCTTTTGTAGCAAATGTGTTATGTTTAATTAGGAGATATGTGTAGTAGAGTGAAAGTTGAATGAATATTTAAATTGTGTGGTTTGTGGTGTTTGTTCTATCCCTGGAAATCATGTAGAACAAAGGCCTTTAGGTAATATACCTTAGTGGTTATAAGGGCACAGATTTTAGTATCAGACCTGAGTTTGAGACCAGGTCTTCCTCTGTGAAACAGGGTTGTAGGAGTTCATTTGTGATTGAGGATTAAATGAATGAGTGCAGGTAAAGCACAGTGCCTGGCACATAGTAAATGACCTGCAGATGTTAACCATTAGAAATTTATAGTCTAGAAACAGGACCTTCTTCCCCAGCAATTATAAAGTGATTTAACTGGTAATCAGGGATTTTTTTTTCCTGAGCTGTAAGTTTGAAAGTTGGGATTATGAATCTTTATTATATATTTATTATATATCTTTAAGATAATAAAATGTACAGAACCATTGACATGGTTTTTTTCCTAATGATCTAAGTCTCAAACAGTCCTATAAAGAAGTAATAACTTATTGGAAAATCAGTTTTTTCCCTCATATGAAATTAGGGGGTAGAACACCTAGAATTCTTAGTAAAAACTGTATGTAATATTAATAAAGACAAGACAAATGTATGGCTTTCCTCTTGGTTTCATCATACTGCTTTTGTTTATTAGAGTCCAACAGTCAGTTTGTAAAATAATGCTGGAAAACAGTGTAAAGTTTTATCATGGCCTGGTTGGTCAGTTTCATACCATAACTGTTTTTCTTGAAAATTGTCCATATAACATACCATGTAAAACTTCTTTTTCCAGCGGTAAGAACTAAAATGGTCTACTGCAAAATTGATCAGACCCAGAGAAAAGTAGTTGTCAGGTAAGACATTTAATACTTTGCAGCATTTTATAGAACAATTTAGTTTGATTATTTCACTTAAATGTTTAGAGAACCAAGGTGGTGTACTTATCAGTTGACTGTAGTTAAATAGTTGCTATTTATCATAATTTTATTAAAGTTCAGACTGAATGTGATTAGCTTATTTAATGAAAGAGTCCTATTTTCCAGCACATTTCATTTAATGGCTAAGCATTGGCTAGAATACTAATGACTTTTATATCTGCTTTATATAGTTGTTCAGGAGAATAGGTGGTTTGGGATCAATATGGTAAAGAATTTTTAAAAATGAGCTTGTAATTCTTAAATTCACTTAGAATTCTAAATTATATCTTTTATGTATATTTAATCTTGCTTTTAACTAGATTCAAATGTGTAGGATATTATAAAGGATACCAAAGGATAAAAGGTTGACTAACATTTTGTTTTTAATTTTTCAATTTTTAGTCATAGCACACATCGGACATTTGGAAAACAGCAATGGCAACAACTCTATGACACACTTAATGCCTGGAAACAAAACTTGAACAAAGTGAAAAACAGCCTTTTGAGTCTTTCTGATACATGAATTTTTATGCATATAATTTTGTTCTTTTTTGGGGAGAAAAACCCCTAAATCATAGTAAAACATTATAAATTAAAATTTTGACTAGTCTGGACATTTATTGTCTCAAATTTAAACTAAAATCACAAATTCCAGGGGATACAAAGTAATAGTTACAAAAGGTCACAATGTCTGTCTTGTATGAGTTCTGTTAGGAAGGATATTGAAGGAGCAACAAGCTCTATAAAGAAATATACATGGGGAAGACAAAAATTTAAAGAGTATTGGATGCTCACAGCAAACTCTGCAAATATATGGATAGCTCTCTTAAATGACAAATTTGTAGAGTACATAATGTTTTTAGAAGTCATGATGTAAAATATTTCATCACATCAGAAAAGATTGGAAAAGTGAAGACAATTGTAAAGCTTTAAATGTAATGTAGTCATTTCATCCTAGTAAAAACTATACCAGTATTTCAGTTAATCTGTTTTTTCTGACATCTCTTCAGCTTTTCTTTTTTTAGGTTGGTTTTCATTTTCTAAGGCTAGTGACTTTTCAATTTCATTTATTTGATTTGTTATGAGCCTCTGCCAGTCATCTTCAACAGAAGAGGCCACCAAGTCAGTAGTATCTTTGATCTTGATTGCCTGGAAATGGCTTTGTAGCAGAGTTGATTCCAGAGGTTTTGTTTTCACCTAGGAAAAACCAAACTAGTTTACCATTAAAATTATTATGCAAAAGACTTCAAAGAAAATCTGTGAATCCTCTGCAATTATTATGTTTATGTGATAAAGTCACCATATTCTTGGCTGGTTTGCAACAACCTTAGTAATTTGGGCACCAGAAAACTATACAATGTGAATTTGTAGGCTTGTGTAATACCTCTTCAAAATCCCTAATATAATGGAAGTAAACTATAAAAACTACCTTTTACTTTGTATTTCCTCTCATGCTTCAGAGCACCATTGTTGAAGAAATAGGAAAGAGCAATGAGATATTTGGAAGTTGCCCTATTTTCAGTGCACTGCATTGGGTCATCCTTTTAACACTCCATTAAAAAATAACTCATTTTAAGGTTTTTTTCTAATAAAATATTGGAAATTTAGAAAATAGAGAAAAGTATAAACTAAAAATCATTAGTAATCCATTTACCCAAATAGACCTGTCAACATTTGGTATTATTTGCTGCTAGTTTTTTCCCCCTATTTTTAGCATATTTGATCATTCTATAGAATTTTATATCTTGCCTTTTCCTCTGTGAGCAGTTTCCTAGCTCATTAAAATTTTTCATAAACAATTGTCAATGGCCTGGCTAAATACTCCCTTTTATGCATGTGTAATGATTTAACTATGTCCTACTACTGACTGTTCTTTCCAGTGTATCCCTACCAAACATAAGTTTGAGTTACTTTCATGAAAAAAAAATTTTTGTCTTCAGATAGATTCCCAGATAAAATCTTCTATTCAAAGAGAATATATTAAGTTTTAGAATAAAAGTTACTGTATTTTGTTTTTTAGTTGTAAGGGAAATACACATGTATTTTAGAAATATGGAACAGGATAATAATTAAAATCATCCAAGATCCCAGCCACCATTAAACATTTTGGCATAAATCTTCTGGTCTCTTTTCTGTATATATTTTAAATACTGGGATCCTATTTTAAATCAGTTTATATGCTATGTAAAAACATTTTTAACATTTCTGCCTGTTAAAAATTTATTAAGAGGATATGTAATTGTTGGACATTTAAATTGTAAAGAGAAGATCACTTATAAATTAAGCTGCAAAGAATCATTTGTTCATAAATCTCTGAAGACCTCTGAGGTATTGCTTATATTAAAATATTTTCTAGTTTGACTAGTAAAAGTGTCATAACATTGTCATTTTCATTGTGAGATCATGTAGTAATAAGTTAATTTTTTAAATGAGCTTAAATGTTTAGAATGGTTAAATTCACAGTTCCAAGTGATCAATACCGAGGATAGATGGGAAGAAATAGATCAAATCTAAATCTAGGTTGCTAATAATTTTGAAGAAATATGATTGATGATCTGTATTATTTAATGGTCCTATCTTGCCATCAAAATGCTTTGTGCATTTTGGTACATTGGGCATCCAAGTACAAATTAGCAGTTTCCCAAAATCCTGATTCTTTAAGATGTGGGAAAGAAAGGACACATTTCACCTATCTGATTTAGTTTCTTTCTCCATAACTACCCACTTGGTAGGAGGGGCAGGAGCAAGGATGGGCTGCAGAGAAACAAGAGATAACAGTATAGACTAAGGTTTGTACTTAACAAAACTGGTCCTTTAGCTTACCTGAGCTTTTACTGTAGCCTGCTGTAGTAATTTTACTTATAGATGATGACATAAAACTTTGCTTGTTCTCTTCCTATCTGTTTTAGAAAAAAATTTTTGTCACCCCCTACTTCCCTCTTTCACAGCCTGATTTAGAAGATATACTTTTTGGCCTAAAAATTTCCCCTCACTTGGTACTAGTCCTTTTATTTCAGCCTGGGATGGTATTTTTAAAAAAGTGGCTGGCTTTGCTTATTTGGGGTCCTCTCTTCCATCCTAATTCCTGGATATCATCAAGATTGTAGCAGACTACCAACCTAACTCTCTTCAAGAACAAAAAAACATATCTTAGCGTTTCAAGTTGCTGTGAATGCGTAGAGAGAAAGTAGCCTGGCACTTAATACCTGCCCCGAGTTTAACAGAATTAATGTGCAGAGTGTACATAAAAATATGTTGAAAAATAAAAGAAATTTCTGTTCCTTTTCGGGCTGTAATACATTTGTCTTCATTTAGAATAGGTTAACAAACTTTTTCTGTAAAGAGCCAGGTAGTAAGTATTTTTGGCTTTGTAGGCCAAATGGCCTGCTTAATTCTGTCACTGCAGTGCAAAAGCAACTTTTACAATATGCAAAGGAATGGGTGTGGTGGTCCTCTAATAAAATACTACTTTTGGATTTGTCCCACATTACATAACAATTGATAATCAAGCTTAAACTAGAACAATGATGCTTAGCATAGTGCTTGGGACACAGTAATAAGCACTTAGAAAATGTCTATTTAGCTAGAGTACTGAGTTTGTTTTATATCTACCAGTATTTTGAGAAGAAACATTTTTTCTATTATCAAAGTTGAGAAAGTATAATAATAGCATTTGACTATGAGCCAAGACATCTAGTCTAGGTCCACTGCAGATTGTCTTGATGACCTTGGAAAGTTATTTCACATTTGTCACTGTTTCCCTATATGTAAAATAGAAAAAATTATTTACCTTAACAGGATAGTGGAGAACTGTTTCTTTGAAGAAATTATCATTATATAAACATGAATTCTTAAAAGCAACATTAATTGCAGGATGAGCATTAGGAATTAGACACAAAGAACTTCCTTGTTAGATTAATTATAAAAATGGACTTTCCAGGGAGATCTGAAACTTCCATCATATACCCTTTTAAACTGTTTGAAAATACAACAGCTATCATGTAAGTGTTCAGTATTCAACCTAATTAGAAATGAGCATCTAGCTTTGATGCTCTCAAACTTCCCCTTTGCTTTGACTATATGACTTATCCAACTGGCCAAGGTCTGAACTTTTCCCAGTGCCAAAATTACTGCTCTTTAGTTACCACATTTTAAAGATACACACCAAGTTGAAACTATACTTTTGTTGCTGAGCTCAATTATGAAAATGTGAAAAGTGTTAGATTCTGATTTTTATTTCAACTCTCCAGGAGGGAGAGTTATACTGTCTCACTTGAGGTTTCTACTATTTAAAAAAGAAAATATAAAAGTATTCTTAAAAACTTACTTGTTAAGGATGTGTTACTACTACAGTTTTCATTTTGTATGTACTAAAGACAAAGTTGTTTAATGTGCATCTCTAAAACTTAAAATATACAATGACTTTAAAATCTGTCACTATGCAGTTATTGTTTTATAAGTAATCTTTCCTAACTTTTTGAAGTCACTTTTTAGCAGTTACACGTACAATTGTTTTTTTGACTTTGAACAATACAGACTTTTTCTTGCTAAAGTTCTACACACTAAGATATAAAACTTAAGTCTTAACCAAATAACTTTCCTTCTATAATTAGTTGCTTTTCTTATGACAAATGGACTCCTGGGAGCCATATAATCTCTACAAATACTTTGCTTAATATAGAGAGCCATACTTACTATTGTATCACATTGTGGATATTTGATCCTTTCACATACTGTGTTCTAATTAAAATCATTTTAAATAAATTCCTTTCATTTTAATAGCCAGGTTCCAAAAACAATTGAATTAACCTAAACATTATTAAAAACAACTGGACCTGACTTAGCTTTTTTAGACGTCATCTTTTATTAATACAAACTTTTAAATACTCAAATGCCACTATTTCCAAATTTAGGTGAGTAAAAAACAGAAGTACATAATCCGATGCCTCACATTCTCCTTTACAAAACAGGCTGCATTATATCTATTTGATTTATACACTGTGACTTTTTCCTGCTGTTTTCTATCAACCTTAATTGTGAAAAATGGTGCCATGTTGCCCTCTTGATATTATTTTGGAGATCAGTTAGGTCTTAAAGCATCCAGATGCATACAGTTCTACACATATCTGTAGAATTAGCTCACCAAGGTCTGCTCGGCAATATTTTTAATTGACTTACATGTTCTGTGGGAAAAGAAGAATCATAAAAAGTCTTTGCAATTGCATTCCTCTCTTCACTGGGTTCTCCCTTGGGATCTGGATGGATACTCCAGTTATTCAAAGTGTCAGCAACTCTGTTAATGCTGGTAGGATCTGATTGACAAAGAGGAAATGGCAGCAACCGAATTTTATTCTCTAGGCACTCATTTTAGTGACTAAACTTGTTTTTCTCTGATGCTATGTTTTTGCATTTAAAAAGCAACAATTTCTATACTCCTTTTACTCGGAATATTTTATAGTTTTCCTAGACTTTGCTCTTATATTAGGCATTTCATTTCAGAAAACATAAGATTTTATTATTGCTACTTTCTAAAACCTGATTACTATAATTCCACATTAAAAGGAGTGAAACAGTATAAACATCTTCTAAAACAAAATAACTCACATAGAATGTTATCCTTATTCCCCTGGTCATTGCATTGCCACAGGTATAAACATTTATATAGTGAACATTTTACCAATTCAGTGGAAAAACTCTGAACCAACTAAATGCCAGATTTATAAATGATCTTTAAAGAAATCAGCCACAGTAAGAATCCCAACAAAGGACTGTTTAGAAGGCGTCATTGGGCTTTAATAAATAGATAAAAATGATTTAAGGAAACATGTCAACTGTAGAGGTTAAAAGATACTTATGGCATGTTTAAGAGTATTTCACAAGTTGAATTTCTATAGAATTTTAGATTATCTTCCCTTATATCTTATTTATATCACTGAAATTTAACTTAGTAGAAAAGACCTTTGAGAAAATTGTAAATGGTAGACCAGCCCCTAAAGCAGCACTTGGCTATCTCTAATGGAATCTGAAGTAATACATTTTATTATTTTAAAAAAATTACAGTTTGGGAGATGAGGTTATATTTTTTATTTTTCCCTACATTACTTTCTATTGGTGCTAGTAAACGTGTTATACTTATTTTGTTTTTAATCCCCAAAAATTCTTTTAAAAATTTTTCTCAATTTACTTTGTAAAAGGAGCCTATTATAAAAGAACCATACAAAATTTCCTTTGTAACCTACATTTCTTTAGTTGATATAAATGCATTGGTTAAACCCAGCAAAATTCCCTTAAAATGTAAGAATGACTTTAATAACCTTGTAGTTATTCAAGATACAGTATGTTTTTATTTCAAAACATTTTTATGAAAAAAATTCAAACACAAAAGTAGAGTATGAACCTCAATGTACCCATCGCCCAACTTCAACACCCATCAATATTAAGTCACATCCATTCACCTATTTATTTTGGGGGGTATTATAAAGCAAAATTTGGAAATTAAGTCATTTCATATGGAAGTTTTAAAGAATAGAACTGCCCCTCTATTCTCTAAAGTATTTAACATTTATTCTGCAGCAGTATGTTCTCTAAAAAAAAAAAAATAAAAATAAAGTATTTAACATTTGAAAGTATTTAACTAAAAACATTATGGGGTTTAATTTAAAGTGTTTCAAACAGTGACAAATATTAGTGATAGGAAATATATTAATGTTATGCTTCGGTATTGCTTATAAAAGAAGAAAGCTGGATTTATGTGCTAATGAAGGGATAAAAATGGAAAAGTTAAGGAAAGGGGGAGAAAAATTAGGCAAAGAAAGTGACAACAGTAAGAGAGAAACTAAAATGTGGTTCAGAGGGAAGGAAACTTTTAAAGATCTGAGAGTATGGAAAGAAAAGGAATAAGCATACATGCACACTTTACAACTACTTCACTGCATTTGCTGTAGATTTTTTTTTTTTTAAAGGGAATCAGATTGGGTAGTTGTTCCTAATTTAAAATTAATGTTTGGAATTGTTGTTTTTGCTATTCCTTGATGATGGCAAAAAAACTTAAAAATTTCCAAAATGTGATTGTATACGTTGATAATACTGGCTCACATTTAGGTGAAAAGAAATTCACTTCCTTTTAAATATTAATAAAACCTTTCCTACTTTTACATATGCACATATGTATGCAGCACTTTAGATTTAGGCAAAAAACAATATAAACATTTTCATTTTAAAGAATCTACTTGGAGACTTTTTATCAAGAATAAGTAGAAAAACACATTTTAAGAATTAAAACATATCCTTATTTTCTTACCTGATCCAATATCTTTTCTGATGTCATTCACACCAACATTTTCACAAAGAGCCACTGAAATTATCTTTTTGTTTTCTGATGGACCTATTGCTCTCTCCTTCAGCAACAAAGAAATGCTAGAAATTGAAGTGCCCACTGTTTGACTTTCAATTTGATTTACTTTTGACCAAGGACTGGGTTCTAAAAAATTCATGTATACTGGAGTTTTCTCAGTTTTTTTATCTGAAGTTGAAGGATCAAAGGCTGACCTTCCACTTCTGTTTACTAAATCTCCAGATGGCTTTATATGAAATGAATGTGATTCCTCCAGCTGTCCTTCACTGTACATTTTTCCTGAAACGATGTCATTTAATGACTCTGTTTTCTCTGTGTTATTTAACAATGTATGCTGTCTTTCATTAACATTCACAAAAAGCAAGAGGTCATTTTTTGTGGCTTCAGTTATCTGATTCTCATCAATCTGTCTCTCTTTATTAGAAAACCGTATTTCTGTGGAAGTTTTCGGGTGAACAGCAGTTTTCACATCTCTGGCTTGTGAAGCATGACTATTCTCATCATTAACTTGAAGATGGGAAATGGTCACATCATTGTTTTCTAAATATCCTATACAGTTCTTAAACTGACTGTTTTGAATATAATTCATATTTTTCCATATAGTTCTTTCCCCAGGGCTTGAATAGGATTTCACCGATATAGGCATACTGTTAACATTTTTATCTGCATTCTTAAGTACTTTCAAATTATCACTGAATGCAGATGAAATGGGGTGATCAATTACTGTATCACAGGGAACAGTTAGTTCAGGTTCCTCTGAAGTATCATTACAGACTTGCTGAAAATCTAAAGCTTGTTTAAAAGGTAATGTGCTGCACTCACTTTTTTTATTTAACAGTTGTATTTGTTTTATTTTACATTGTTTATCATCTAACATAACATTACTTGAATCCTGTAAACTAGGTTTCTGACACAGAATGGGATTCTTCTTTACATCCAAAGATGAATCCAAATCTGCTTTGGTTTGGTCTCTATTTTCTTTCTCTGTAGCATTTTCTTGAGTCCCCAGGAGTGAAGTGAATTGTTTGAATGGTTCATTTTCAGAAACATCTTTATTATGATTTGCATTGTGAGCTGTCTCGTATAAAACACTGTTAAATGATGTTGTGTTGTTTTCATCCTCCCGGTGTGTATCTGCACAGTGAAGATCTAATTCTAATCTTTCAGTTCTTTCTAGGTTTATCTTTTCTGTTTCTACTGCTATACCTACCACTGAAAAAGGATTATTTGGTGTTTTAAATTCTGTATGTCCATTGTTTTTTTCTAAGCACATCATGTCTTTTATTTCTGTAGTAACTGATTTTCTAATGTCAGTAACATTCAAGGTTTGTCCTTGACGAATTACTTCTCTTTCTAAGCAGAGGGTTTTGCTTAGGGAGATTTCACTTTGATTTTCGTTCTGAGATACAGTAGTATCAATTTCATTCTTGAAGTTTTTTTCAAAAAGCTGTAAATCTGTCAGGAACACAGTAAAATTTTATATTATACACTAAAGTCTGATTTTATAAAACATATGTCACTTATTTTATAAAAACATATTTAGCCATAAGTATTTTATTGGCCAATAATTATACAAGTTTGATGACATTAATTTTACCTAAATATTAGGTTCCCTTTATTATAACAAGCATACATTTAACATGCTAAATACTTGGCTCTACCCACATTAAATTTTTATTTTATAACAGCAAAAGTATTTTTGGCTCAAATAAGGGGAAGTTGAGATATTACAAAATGGTTTATTTCTCTAGTCCAGGGGTCCTCAAACTTTTTAAATAGGGAGCAAGTTCACTGTCCCTCATACGGTTGAAGGGCCAGACTATATGTTAAAAAAAAACTATGAACAAATTCCTATGCATACTGCACATATCTTATTCTGAAGTAAAAAACAAACAGGCAAAAACACCCGCATGTGGCCGGGGGAACCATAGTTTGAGGACCCCTGCTCTAGTCTGTTGTTTCCTTTAGGGCAGACAGCAGAATTCCATATAAACACACAGCTGATAAAAATGAACTTATGCTAACAAGTTACACTAATTTCTATTACTACCCAGGTCCAGAAACATGCAGAAATTGCTAGCTGGCTTCTTTGGGACTGACAATCATCACTTTTTTATTCACTGCCCTGTGAATATTTTTAAATTCTGGAATAATTTTGGGCAGTGTATACTTAATCAAGACATTAATTTTATTCATCTATGTTTTAACAATAGATTTCAAATTTTTAATATAGTTAAAATAATCTAGAATACAAATTTCAGGTCTTGGGAGGCCTATTTTAGTCCAGTCATTCTTTCTACAACATCTCCACCAAGTGGTTGTTCAGCCTAGGTTTGAGCACCTTTAATCAGCATCATCTTTAAACAACTCTTTTTCAAAGATTAAAGAATTAGTAAATTATTTCAATCGTTACAGAAAGGTCATTTGAATTAAGAAAAGTACTCTAGGTCTAGTCAACAAAAGGCTATTGGTGACCCAAAGAACATTCTCAGTAAAGCAGTGAAGGCATAAACCAGAATACAAAAAGCCAAGGAATAAGTGATGAGAGGGGAGACATAAATGTAGTTTTCCCAAAAATACCGACTATAAAAGAATAGTTTGAAGGATGCTTATTTTGTTGACATATACATAGGAAAAGGTAAATGTTTCTTCAACTACACTGCAAGGTTCTCAAAGCAAAGACTGTAATTGATAATTCCTCTAAATTCCACAGAGGGCCCAGCACAGCACTATGGCAGAGTCTTTATTTTGGAAAAAAAAAATTCAGTATACAAATTAGAAAATATCAATATAATTTTAAAGTTACCTTCTATAATGATTTCTTCCACAAATGGGTCTTCTTTCTTTTCCTCCTTTTTTCTGTATCCAGTATCTGAACAAAAACTCTCAGTATTTTCTTCCCTTATTTCTTGCTCAGAATATTTCTGTTTGATAGTGTTTTCTAATTTTTCAGTTGACATTTCACGGTTTTCATTATTTATTTCTGGAACATTCTAGTAAAATGGAAAAGATTCCTTTAATGTAAAAACAGATTGTTAAAAGGTATAAAACCTTTGTGCAATCTTTGCTGATAAAAGTGGAATGTTTCAGTTCGACAATACAGCAATTTCCATTTCAAAGCCAAACGATTTTTAAACTAAGTTTAATATATTTTCTTCATAACAAGATCACTTTATGTTCATTTTATATAGTCTTAAACAAAATGGAGATCTTTATGTTTTCAAACATGCATACCACATTATTATATATAATACCACATATTCTATGTAATAGAAGAGCCACCCGTTTATTAAAAACCAGCCTGGACAACATAGTGAGACCCTATCTCTAAGAAAAAAAAAAGCAGCACCAAAAATTAGCAGGGCATTGTGGCCCACGTGTAGTGAACTATGATCAGCCATTACATTCCGGCCTGGGTGACAAAGTGAGATACCACCTCTAAAACAACATCAACAAAACTAAGGTTGACATGGCAGGCAATTGTTTTAAGCAGTATTTTTCTTTTTTGAGAGACTGGGTTTCACTATATTGCCCAGGCTAAGGGTATAGTGGCTATTCACAAGTGTGATCATAGCGCCTCATATCCTCAAACTCCTGGGCTCAAGTGATCCTTCTCCCTTAGCCTCCCAAGTAGCTGAGATTATAGGTGCTCACCACCTCATCTGGCTAAGCAGTATTTGTATGTATCTTTAAAACAGTGAATCAATTCAATATGGTTTTTCTTCCTCTATATATTAGGTTATTAAGTATCAAATGTCCAATTTCCTTAAGTATTAAGTTTGACAGTTGATATCTCTGACATTTCACTTTGACACATCTTGTTTTATTTTTATTGTGAAGGTATGTCCTCAGTCCTTCAAATGCATGGTTTGGCGTGTGATTATCTTTCAAATTATTTTTTTAGAGCAATTTTTGTGAAACCATGGATAAGTCAAAAATTCGTGTTATTTTCAAATAAGTTCCATTGTGGAACCAATGCAGCACAGACAACTCAAAATATCAACAATGTGTTTCAGAAGGATGTGTCTAATGAATGCATAGTACATTGGTGGTTTGAGAAGTTCCATTCTGGTGATTTTATTCTTGAAAATGAGCGATGTGGGTGACCTGAGGACCAAGGCGGATAATGATGAGCTGAAAGCTGTAGTGGAAGTGAATCCATCTCCACCTATGTGTGAATTAGCAGCAAAATTTGACATTACTATTCCAACAATATTGGAGCATTTGAGACAAATGGGCAAGGTAAAGAAGCTGGATAGATGAGTACTGTATGAATTAAATGAGCCTCAAGAGATGAAATCATCTTGAAGCTTGCCTTTCTTTGCTGTCACGACATAAAGGCAAACCATTTCTACTCAGATTTTTTGACAACTGCAAGTGTTCAGACAAAACACAGTCTAAAACCGAACATTCATCAACAAAATCTAATAGCGTGTGTGTGATGGTCCAGCACTGTTATCCACTACAGCTTTATGAAACCTGGTCAATCAATTATAGCAGACGTCTACTGCAACCAACTGGATGAAATAAGGATGCTTGCCATGAAGCAACCGAGACTGGTCAATAGAGAGGCCAATTCTCCTGCAAGACTATGTGTCACAAAAAACTATGCTGCTCAAACTACAGAAGCTAGACTTGGAAACTATCTGTCATCATCCACTGTATTCACCAGACCTTGCGCCAACTGACTACCAGTTCCTCCAGGCTTTGGACCACTTCTTGAAAGGAAAAATATTCAATTCTCAAAAAGCTGTGGAAAATGCCTTTTGTGATTTCATCGCCACTTGCTCTCCAGGCTTCTTCACTGCTGGCATAAACAAGCTACCATTAAGATGGCAAAATTGGGTTGATAGTTAAGGCGCATACTTTGATTGATGGTACTGCTTCTTGTTTGAGATATAATATACTACATTTTTTATTTGAAATCAGATATTTCATATTTAATGACCTAATATTAAGCCATGTTACATGTGAAGCACTGCACTAAGCTTTTGGGATACAATGATAAACAAAATACAGTCCCTGCCCTCTAAAAACTTATAGTTTGGTACTAAGATAGGAAAAGAAATAACAGGCAACTTTAATAAAATGTGGTAAGTGCTCTGAGAGGGATAAATACAAGCTACTATAGGCACACAGAGGAACAGTCCTTTCCCTGCTGTGGGGAGTCACAGAAGGCTTCTGAGAAAAGGTGATAACTAAACATACCTGAGGTATAATATGGAGTCATATGGGGATAAGGAGGCACTCCAGGGAGAACAAATGGTATATATAGATGTTTGAGAGCAAGCAAGATTAGAATCTGTTCAAGGAACTATGAGTGATACAGTTTAGTTAGAGCTTAGACGCTGGGAGAGGAATAGAAAGAGATGGCTTGAGGCAAGCTGGGATAAGTCATTAAGGGTTTAATACAGGATGCTAAGGAGTTTCAGCTCTACCAGGAAGACTCTGGGAAGTCACTGAAGTGTTTTAAACAAGGAATAAATAATATGATCTGACTGGAGAGACCATTCTGGCTGCAGTATAAAGAATGGGTTAATGTTTTCCAAACTTCATTGTCTGAAATCAGCAATAAGAAATATGTTTTATAATTCAATGAGTATACCAAATATATCACACTGATATACTGTGATACATTCTAATGTTTTCTATCTCATTTTTAAAAGAATTCTGGGTCACAAACCACCAAACTAATTTCTATGAATCACTGATAGGTTGCACCTAGGAAGTCTGCAAGACAGGAGGCAGAGAGACGTATTAGGAAAGTGCCAGAGTAGTCCAATGATATCAATAATGATAAAGAACATCCCCTCCTCACCTAAGTAGAGTTGATCTCTCCTTCCTTTGAGCCACTAACCTGCTCTAGATATGCTATTTAAGCACTTTCCACACTACACTATAATTTTGAGACAGAGTCTCACTTTGTTGCCCAGGCTAGAGTGAGTGCCGTGGCATCAGCCTAGCTCACAGCAACCTCAAACTCCTGGGCTCAAGCAATCCTCCTGCCTCAGCCTCCCGAGTAGCTGGGACTACAGGCATGCACAGCCACCATGCCCGGCTAATTTTTTCTATATATATTATTTGGCCAATTAATTTCTTTCTATTTATAGTAGAGACAGGGTCTCACTCTTGCTCAGGCTGTTTTCGAACTCCCGACCTCAAGCAATCCGCCCACCTCAGCCTCCCAGAGTGGTAGGATTATAGGCGTGAGCCACTACGCCCAGCCTACAATTGCTTTTTAACCCATTTCTTCTACTAGATTGGAAGTTCCCTGGAGCATTGTATGTGTCTCTTTCATAGTATTCCCACAATCTTCCACAGTATGTGACACATAGATGACATTCAATAAATGTTTATTGAATAAGTACATAGGTAAAAGAATGAATTAAATAAGTGAATAAGCACATGTATTAAGAATATTTAATAAAAAGTATATGTGTAGTACAAAAAATAAAAATATTTGCTTTAAAAGGGACTAATTACAGAGCTCTTTAAGATAGTACAATTCCCTAGATCACTTAGCATTTGATTTTTCAAATTTAGACCTATACATCTAGCTATGTCAGAGTCCTGACTTGCCTTCCCAATTTTCTTGTAAATTATTAGAAAACTAGATGAAATGTATGAAACAACAGCTTTCAGACAATGGAATACATATGGTGAAAAAATGTGTTCTATGAGAGAAAGGAAAAAATGAGATAAATAAACCTTATGATTACTCAGGCTTACTGCCTGGATACTCTACACCACAGCACGAGGAGGAGATACTCTTGCAAAGTAAAGTAGGATGGTCTCACTGAGTTGGCAAGACAGGAATTAGAGTCTGGAGAGGCTGAGGTGGGTATTAATTTGTAAGGCAGAATACTGAAGATGAGGGAACTATGCAGAAAAAGAGTTCCAGGCATTTGCACATTCAGTCTATTGCCGAATATTAAACTAGACATGTGAGGAGTAAAAGTCCATGAAGACTTACAGGGGAGCTGTAAGCTGAACAATTCCCAGAGCTCCCACAGATCTGGGTTCCAACCAGCCAGAGTGGAAAGAACTTATTGAATACCTGGGACACTTTGTAGAGACCCCAGAAGGATCATGCCCTACTAGCAGGTTTAAACTAGCCCTAGATTAAGGGCTATTCTAGATTCTTCCTTAAATTTAAAAACAAGCCTCAAATTGATCAAGCTTATCAGCAAGTAACTTAACTGCCTGCGAAATTTCAACATTCTTGAAAGGAAGACAACAAAATCTAGCAATCAGCAATGTAAAATTCAAAATGTTCTAATCCAGTAAAAATTACTAGACAGGGAGAGAAGCAGGAAAATGTAACCTGTTATGTTATCTCTTATAAAGCAATGAAAACGAATATAGAAATGACAGAGATGATGGAATTAATAAAGGAACTTTAAAACAGCTATTTAAAGGATAATAATATGAACATAATGAAAATAAAAATTAAAAATACCAAAAAAAGAACTAGATGGAAATTCTAGAGATGAAATATACAGTATCTGCAACAAAAACTCACTGGTTAGGCTTACTAGCAGATCAGACATTTTAGAAAGAAAGATAAATGAATTTCAGGACATAACAGTAGGAATACTGCCAGCTGAAGCAAAGAGAGAAAAAAGGCTGAAAAAAATATGAAGTGGAGCCTTAGTAACCTGTAGGACAATATCAAGCAGTCTAATATGTGTAAATGAAGTCCCACAAAAGGAGAAAAGGGAGAAGGAAAAAATATTGAAGAAATAATGACCAAAAATTCTCCAAATCTGATGAAAATTTAAACCCACAGATCCAAGAAATGCAATAAATCCCAAAGAAAGGCCAGGTGCGGTGGCTCACACCTGTAATCCTAGCACTCTGGGAAGCCAAGGTGGGCAGGAGCTCAGGAGTTGAGGAGTTGAGCTCAGGAGTTCAAGATCAGCCTGAGCAAGAGCAAGACCCTGTCTCTACTAAAAAAAGAAAGAAATTAGATGGACCACTAAAAATATATATAGAAAAAAATTAGCTGGGCATAGTGGTGCATGCCTGTAGTCCCAGCTACTTGGGAGGCTGAGGCAGTAGGATTGCTTGAGCCCAGGAGTTTGAGGTTGCTGTGAGCTAAGCTGATGCCATGGCACTGTAGCCCGGCAGCAGAGTGAGACTGTCTCAAAAAAAAAAAAAAGAAAAAAAAAATCTTAAAGAGAGATACATACAAAGAAACCATACCAAGGTACATCATAATCAAACTGCTTAAAAACAGTCATGAAGGAAAAACTTTAAAAGGCAGCCAGAGATAAAAAGACATTTATAAAGAGGGATTATAAACATAAGAATTGTCCCAGAATTATTGCCAGAAGCAAAGCAAAACAACAGAAATGGCACCTTAAAATTAACAAAAGGAAAAGATTATCGATCTAAAATTTTATATCCAGTAAAAATATCCTTAAAAATTAAGGAAAATTAAGTACTTTTTCAGACAGACAAAAGCCAAGAGAATTCCTTACCAGCAAATATACACAAAAAGAAATGTTAAAGGAAGTTCTTCAGGATGAAGGAATATGATAACAGGTAGAAACCTGGAGCTATGCAAAGGAATGATTTATGACAGAAACAGTAAATATGGTGATGAATAGAAAAGATATTTTATCTAATTTTAATTTTCTTTATCATGTAATTGACTGTTAAGAGTATAATAAATAATATATTGTGGGGTTTGTAACATACAATAAAATGTATGATAACAATAGCACAAAGGACTGGAGAAAACGATAATGTAGTTTTATAAGTTTCTTACCTTATCATAAATTTGGTATATTATTTGAAAATATAGTACAATAAATTACACCCTAGAGCAGGAGTTGGCAAAACATGGTCAAAGGGCCAAATCTAGCCTGCTGCTTGTTTTCCTAAATATAATTTTATTGGCATAAAACCATGCCCACATGTGAATGTACTTAATACCACTGAACTTAATACTATACTCATAAAAGTGATTAAAATAGTAAACTATATGTTATATATATTTTGCTACAACAAAATACAAACAATAGTTCTCAAAGAGAAAATAAAGGACTTCCTCATGTTATTATTCAACATAAAAAAGTGAATACTGCCATTAAAGTAACAAGATGAAAAAGATATATTAAATATAATACAAACACTAATCATAAAAGATGAAATAGCTCTATTAGTATCAGACAAAAGAGACCTCAGGACAAGAAATATTACTAGGATAAAGATGGACATTTCATAATGATAAAAAGGTCAATTAATCAGGAAGTCATAACAACCATAAATGTGCCATAACAATCATAAATCATATACCTAATAACAGAGCTTAAAGATACAAGAAGCAAAAACCAACAGAACTGAAAATAGAAAGCCAAATTCACAGTTATAATTAAAGGTTTCAACACTCTTCTCCCAATAACTGATAGCACAAGTACACACACACACACACACACATCAGTAAGGATGGAGAATTTGAATAATATTATCAACCAACTTGACCTAATTGACATTTATAAAACATTCCACTAGCCAACAGCAGGATACATATTCTTCAACAGCACATGAAATATTCACCAATAACAATATGTTTGGCAAAAAAACAAGCGTTAATAGATTTAAAAGAATCAGTCTTAGCTAGAATGTTCCCTGACCACAACCAAATTAAATTTGAAATCATTAACAGAAAGGTATTTGGAAAATTCTCAAATATTGGGAGATTAAACAACATACTTCTAATGGGTCATACTCATACCCATGGGTCAAAAAAGACTGCACAAGAAAAATCTTAAAATATTTTCAACTGAATGAAAATGAAAACACTACATATAATTCATGGATGCAACTAAGGCAGTACGTAGAGGAAAGCATCTAGCTTTAAATGCTTATATTTGAAAAGAAGAAAGGCAAATAATCAATTATCTAAGTTTCAACCTTAAGCAGCCAGAAGAAAAAGAAAAATAAATTAAACCCAAAGTAAATAGAATGAAGAAAGAATGTTATTAATAATAGTAAAAGTCAATGAAATAGCAAATGAATAAACATGAGAGGAAAAGCAATGAAACCAAAACCTGGTTCTTTGAAAAGATTAATAAAACTGGAAAACCTCTAACTAAACTAAGATAGATAAGTATCAGGGGTGGAGGGAAAAAAATAAAGAGAAAGATACAAATTATCAATATCAAGAATGATATAGGGACAACAATACTGATCCTATAGAATAATATAATAATAAGAGAATATTATGAGCAACTCTTAGCCAATAAATTGATAATTTATGAAAAGGACAAGCTCCTTGAAAGACAAAAATTACCCCAAATGACTGTTGGGGGTCCCCAAGACCACCGCCAGGATCAGTGATTCACTGATAGGACTCACAGGACTCATCATATACTCTTACTCATGGCTAAGGTTTATTATAGTAAAAGGATACAAACCAAAATAGGCAAAAGAAAAAGCACATGAGTTTAAGTCTGGAGGAAACCAGGTAAGAGCTTCCAAGAGTCATCTCCTAATGTAGTCACATAGGACACCTTAATTCCTACAGCAATGAATTGTGACAACATATGTAAATCTTTTTCTATCAGGGAAGCTCATTAGAAACTTAGTGCCCAAGGTTTGGGGTTGGGGGTGGGGTACTGATGCAGGCATCCTCTGCCTAACATGTGCCAAAACTCTAGACTCTTAGAAAGGAAACAGATGTTCAGAATAAAACACATTGCTTACACTAACAGTTTAGGCACAGTGAGCCATGTTTATCAGTTAGAAAATGGTGAGAATGCCCCCCCAAATCCAAGTTTCCAACCATCAGCCAAAGGCCAACTTTATAAGCAGGTCTTTATAAAGACAGTATCCATAGGCCCACTAAGTTAACTCTTTTCTGCACATCAATACAAGAAGAAATTGAAAATCTGAATAGCCCTGTAAATAATTTAAATACTGAACTTGTTATTAAGAATATTCCCACAATGAAAAAGTCCAGATAGCTTCACTGGTAAATCTACCTAACATTTAATAAAGAAATAATACCAAGACTACACATTGAAAGGAATATATTACAAATCCATTTATGGGACCAATATTACTCTTGACACAAAAACCAGATCAAAGATTACAAAGCAAAAACATAAGAAAAAACAAAACTTATAGATCAATGTTCCTCATCAATGCAAAATCCTTAACAAATCATTAGCAATTCAAATCCAGCTATATTAGAAAAAGCATTTGACGAAATTTAACATCCCATTCAAGATAAAAACTCACTCATGATAAAGGCTCAGCAAATTATGTATAGAAGGGAATTTTCTCAACCTGATGAAAAGTATAAACAAAAAACCTACAGCTAACATAATATGAAATGGTAAAAGCCTAATACCCTCCATCTGAGATGAGAAACAAAGCAAGTATGCTCACTCTCACAACTGTCATTCAACATTGTATTAGAGTGTCCTAGATTGTGCAGTAAGTTGAGAAAAAGAAATAAAATGCATGCAAGAGTTTTAGAAAGAAGTAAAACTGTCACATATTTGCAAACAACTTGATCATATACATAGAAAACCCCAAAATTCAGCAAAAATAACTACTATAACAATAAATTAATCTAAAAATGAGATTAATGTACAAATATCAATTGTACTTCTAAGCTGAGTCCAATGGCACATGCTTGTAATCCTAGCTACTCAGGAGGCTAAGGCAGGAGGATTGCCTGAGACCAGGAGTTTGAGTGCAGTTTGGACAACATAGTGAGACCTCATCTAAAAAAAATTACACTTCTGTATATAAGTAATGAACAATTATAAAGATAAAAAATGGAAATACTATTTACAATAGGAATCAAAACATAAAATATTCAGGGATAAATTTAAACAAAAATTTCTAAGACCTACACACTTAAAAACAACAAAACATTTCTGAGAGATATTTTTAAATATCCTAGTAAATGGAAAGCTATACCATGTTCATGGACTAGAATATTTAGTCCCAATCAAAATCTCAGAGTTTTAAAAATAGAAATTGAAAAACTGACTCCAAATGTGATAAGGAAATATTAAAGACCTAGAATAGCAAAAACAATTTTGAAAAACAAAACTGAAGAACTTATGCTACATTTTAAGATTTCTTAAAAAGCTATACTAATAAAGACAGTGTGGTGTTGACTTAAATATAAACATATAATCAATGAAGCATGTAAGAAAAATAGACCCACATATATTTGGTCAACTGATTTTCAAAGAAGGTCCAATGGGAGAGAAGACAGTCTTTTTAACAAATGTATATGCTGGAATAACTGTAAATCCATATTCAAAAAGTGACCCTCAACCCTTATGTCATACTGTATAAAAAAATTAACTAATAATGTACATGCTTATATTCATTTTTCAATTTTTTGTCACTGAGCTCTTTAAAAATGAAATATATTAATTTTTTAAAAGTTGATAAACTTAAATTGTAAAGCAAGGAGAAAATCATCAGTGATGGTCTTAATTTCTTTAACACTTTGTGCCCCCCGAACATACTTGAATTTTACCTGAAAATTCTTGTCTTCCTCAAACTTTTTCTGATTGCAGAATTTGTTGTAATGTTCTTGTAACTTAATATGAGTTTCTTTAAGTAATGATAATTCATTTTGAGTCTCATTAATTTCTCCATTAAGTTCTTCAACCTATTATAAAATTTAAACAAAATATACAGGCATATAAATATGTTTTATCTGAAAATACTTTATTAACACAAGTTTTGGTAATGAATTAGTAAAAGAATAAAACCAATCACGAAGTAATTACTAATAGTAAGAGCTACCATTTATTGAACTGGGCTGAGTACTTAATAAATATAATTGCATACTCATAAAAACCCTATGAAGTATTATTATGCCCAAATAACAGGAGAGAAATATGAGGCTCACAGAAGATAAGTAACTTGTCCAAGTTCACACAGATATAAAGTGCAGTCAAGATTCAAATCCAAAGCTAAATCTAGGGGCTGTGTTCTTAACTACTATATTAAACCACCTCTTGTTACAAATGAGAATTTATGAATTTATTTTTAATCATACAAATTCTATAAAAGTTACACCTCCACTGCCTTCTTAAAAATTTATTTTCTTATTGTAAACTGGATATACAGATTTGAACTAGGTGAAGAGTACTGAACATTAAGTGATACCATAGAAAACTGACATTTCAGCCTAATATTTACATCTATAAATTGGACTTTCACTGTCTATAAAATTTCATAATCTTTTCTTGGGGAGAGCAGTCTTTCATAGAAAGCACAAATATGAGACAAGGTAATTCCACTGAAGAGAAAATACTCTTTTGTCACGGAAGATTATAAAAGTTTCTCTTGAACAATTTTAAAACTCCTATCACAAATCCCAAAAATGCATGTAATTATTCTTAATACTTTAGTAATTAATATTCCTCTATACATCCCTATATAGAGGCCAGCAGACATAAATTCACAACACTTTCCCTTCATCTCTTCTATTAACTATCTTTTAACCTATCTCTGCAAAGTATTTTTCCAAGGCTAAACTCTCCATGTGTTCTTTATCCCATCCTCTCCTATCTCCCTTAATCCTAGCTCTAGCAATTTTCTTTTCTTCTGCCTATTCTCAGTCTCTCACACTAAACCAGCATCTTCTCAGCCCACAAATATGCTCTACTCACATTCCTATTTTTTTTTCTCATTGACCCAGTTATTCTGTCTCTCCTTTTTTTTTTTTTTTTTTTTTTTTTTGAGAGAGTCTCACTTTGTTGCCCAGAGTGAGTGCCATGGCGTCAGCCTAGCTTACCGCAATCTCAAACTGCTGGGCTAAAGCAATCCTGCTGCCTCAGCCTCCCGAGTAGCTGGGACTACAGGCATGCACAGCCACCATGCCCGGCTAATTTTTTCTATATATATTAGTTATCCAATTAATATCTTTTTATTTATAGTAGAGACAGGGTCTCGCTCTTGCTCAGGCTAGTTTCAAACTCCTGACCTCAAGCAATCTGCCCACCTCGGCCTCCCAGAGTGCTAGGATTACAGAAGTGAGCCACCAAGACTGGCTGTCTCTCACTTCTTAAAATAGTCCACACTGGATACTTTCAAATTCTGACCCTTCCCCAATCATTCAACAGCCTAACTTTGGCCTGCATTGTTCTGTTTTCTCAAATGTCACCTGCAAATTAGCAAAATAGTTTTTTCCCAAGTCTCACACCATTGAACAGTTCTGTAGCATCTGACTGTGTTGACTACTCTGTTCTTGAAACAGCCTCTTCTCCTGGCTTCCATTGTGGGGCGCGGTGTCAACGCCAATGGCGCCTGTTTCCGGCTTTGCCTAGAGCAGCTAACAAGTTCAGCGCACGCATAATTGTCGGTTGCCCTGTGGCGCGAGAATGCAAACAAAGGGTCCTGATATGGGCTAATGCTTTGGTGGCTCGACAGTTGAGCGGCCTATCGCAGCTTAGGGGTTGTACTTCTGGGGTATATAGCAGCTTGCACGCTGCCGGGCTGGGTCTTCCGCATCATGTAAGCCTAAAGGGAACCCCATTAAAGCACGGTCAGAAGAACTCCTGTTGCCGCGTCTTCCTTGCTGCCGAGGCGGGCGCGACATTCCATGGTACTGCTCTCTTTATCCTATCTTTCTCACTGTTCTTATCAGGCTTTTGCTCCTCTCCTGCTCCAACACACACACACACACACACACACACACACACACACACACACACACACACTCACTCAAAACGCTAGCATTCCCAAAGTTTCTTTTTCAGCTCTTTTCTCTTAAAGTCCTCTATTCCTTCCATAGATGATTTTATTTCACATATAACTTCAACTTTCATCTTTTGCTAGTAAATCTTAAATCTCTCTCTCTTCCCCAACCTCTCTCCTTAGATTCACATTTCCAAATGGATAGTATGCATTTCAAGCTAGATGTCCTGTAGACACCATAAATTCAACAGTTCTCAAATTAAACTCATGATTTTCATCCAGCAAATCTGCTTTTCATTTTACATTCCTTATGTCAGTTAATGACATTATCATTCTATGAGTTATGTTAATCCTAGAGTCATATTTGATGCTTTTTCCCCTCCTAATACCCACTATATAAAAAATGTCACTAATCATGCCAGATCTACTTCCAAAATGCTTCCTGCATCTATTCCTCTTCACTGTTCTCACTACCATACTATTAGTCTAATTCACACCCTCATAGATTCATTATTAGATTATTACAATTATTCTTCTTACTGGTCTCTTTCCATAAAGTCACCCTCCATAGTGTTGCAAGAGTTATTTTTTCTAACACACAGGTCTGTTTATGTCATTTATTTGCTTTAAAACTCTCAATGGCTTCCCATTATTTAAATCCTAACCCCTTAGCAAGGAACCCTTCGAAAGCTGATCTCAACCTATTCTCCAGTGTCACAATCCACATATCCTATTTTTTATTCAGAGCAGGTGATTCTTGAAAATGCAGTTTTCAGGCTTCCATGATAGTTTCTATTCTTGCCTAAATGGAACAACAAAAGGATGGAACTGGGAAGGGCAGATAATGGGTACCTTTTGCTTGGTGAAATCCTATTCATCCTTCAAGGCCAAATTCTAGTGTCATCTTTTCTCTAAAACTTTCTCCAAACTAGCTAAAGGATATGATTTATTTTGTGCTTTCATACTTCTTTGTTAATAATACTAAAAAGCACCCTGCACTACCATGATTAATTCCGTAGTTATCTGTCCCTTGAGGGTGGAAGCTCTTTGGTAATCTTTGTATTTTAGACGTCTCTGAAAACTCATTGTCTAGGATAGTGCTAACACATTGGTATATGTACAACAAATGGTGTTTGTTGAATTGAATTCAACAAAGGAATTGAATTCCTTCTGTGACCTTCCTTTCCCTAATTTCTGAACATCCTCATTTATTGTCTGTCTATATTATCTACTGATTATATAACTAGTCAAAATAAAAACAGATAAACATAACACTTATTTTAATATTTCAATGAATTTTAATTATCTAAAAATATGTACTAAGTTTTATTAGCATAGCATTTTCCTTCACTGTTCTTTAAATGACCAAATATAAAATAGCAGTTTATATGATTCCAACTTATTTTTATCAGATTCTGTATTTTTTCACACATCTTGATCCAATCTCAGCAGCTGTACTACTATTGTCCTTCACTCAAGAATGATGAAAAACTTAGAGACAGAAATAAAATTAAAGAGTAAATCTGATCTCACATTCATGAAAACTCTTATAGAACCAAGGCAGCTTTTTCTTACTTATTTATATTTTGTTTAATAGTAAGGCATCATGGAAGTGAAATGACTATAGAATCTAAAATTTCTAAGATAAAATCAATTGTATCCAAATTTATAGATCAAGGCCTCATCAGTGGAATTATTTTTCTTAATTGTCTTTTTCCTTGGGAAAGTGGCATGATGCAGAGAAAATGAATGTTTAATTTTCTTAGCTCAACTGATTTTTTTGGCATCTTTGGCATATTTAAGTTTATATTTCCTTTTCACTTATAGTTGTCCTTATCCTGACAGTACTATTTCTTTTAAACATTGGGGATGAAAAGGAGGTACTGGGATGCAATGTAGACTAACTGAAGCTAAAATGAAGATTGGTATGCTTGTTGCTTAATGATAAACTTTACTAGGGTAGAGATTATTAAGTTTTTAGTATTCTGATAAAATTAAGTACAAAATATTTTTCTTAGATTTGAGTAAAGCTTATCAAAATCAGTGAAGACTTGATCTCTCCAAACTATAAATTAAGCAAAATGCTAGCTTCAAACGAATCAAATCAAGAGTTACTTATGTAAAAATTTAAATCAAATAAAATCTACAGAAAATATTATCAAGCTAGTATTCAAACATACATTATACAAGTATAATATGTAATATAGTACAATATAGTATATAATTCATATAATAGTGTAAAATATGATCATACTTTTGTAAAATATAGCTTCTTAAACTCATAAATAGTGACTTTCTACTGTGCTAATTCTTTAAAAAGAATTTATAGTTGACGTTAAAATAATCAATCTTGGGGATCTATCAATCTTTAAAATGAACCTTCATATTTCACAACTTGAATTTATATCATTTTACACTATTATTTTATCTACTTTGCTGAAATTAAAATTTACTGTAAGATAGACAAATGTGGTTTAAGGAAACAGCCATGTTTATAACTTATCAACTCTTATGGATAAAATGTTAATACTATAGAACTCAACTACTGCACATGTGATCTAAACATGGCTCTAATATATCTCAAGAAACTGCTGAGAAAAGCAAAATAGATCAGTTAATAACAGTACATATATAATTCTCTATTTTAATCATTTACTAACATACCATGCAATGGTTTTATGAAAAAGTAAATTAATTTTGACATATATGGAAGATCATTCAAATTATATATATGTGTGTATATATATATATATGTGTGTGTGTATGTATGTATATATACACGAACATGTATTTATGTGGTCTTCCATGCATGAAAACATTACAGGGAATTTTATCAAATTTAGCTTTTCAAAACCATTCACCTTTTTGGAAATATGAATATAAAAAAATGTGTCTGACTTTATTCCTGTATTATTTCTACAATATTTTCTTTGCATTTAATAGTTATTTTAAATGTCTACAACTATTTAAAATATTTTAATATTTTACCATTTAATAAACCTACATGTCTTTTCCAAGTTCCCAGTACTTTCTCATGCTCATTTTGAAGATTAAGAAACTTTTCTTCATTTTCTTTTACCTTCTCCCTTTGCAGCTCATTATCTCTTTCAAGGGTCTGCAATAAAATTAATTATCCAAAAAATAATCAATACCACATTAATGAATTTTGATGTGTTTTATGTTGCTTGGACCTTTGCTTCTAACATGCTGAAAGTGCCATACAGATCAGTGATAATGTGCTATCTCAACAATAATTTTAATAAATTAATGGAAAGGTGCTTATAGTTTAGTTAACAGGAAATAGGGGGAGGTTATGATAAAGAAATGGCTATAAAAGGGTATAAAAACATTGCCATTATTCAGTTTCACTGCATAAGTTTTAATGTACTGAAAAAGTAATATAAAGTGCAGCACTGAAAAGTATGAAATGTAGCATAATACAGCCTAACCCTACTAAAGAAATTTAACTACCACAGAACACTTTTTCCATTATCCATTTTAGAAATTAACTGGCTAGAAAACCCTTAAATACAAGTTTAATTTTAATTTCAAATTAATACTTTTTAAGCATAATTTAAATATCTACCATATTAACTTAATTACCTCATTGAATTAATGTAATTAACACCATGCTACCCCTCCCCCAAAATAAACTTATAAAGAGTAAAAATAATACCAAGTGTTTTATAACACTAGGCCTTTAAAGCTATTAAATCAGTGTCACTAATATTATGTTTTTTCAATGTCTGCTGATAATCCAAGTAAACTTCTATAAAAAGATAAATAGTAAGAACTCTTACCTACATGTCTAATACATCTGGAATCTTTAAGTTCATTTGTTTATCTTTATTAAAGCTATGTACATTCAGGGTAAAATATTCAAGCCACACAAAAGGATATAGAAAGATAAAGGTAAAGTTATCCTCTATCAGTTCTCCTCCCCAGAAGTAACCACTTCTTTTGTATCCTTCCAGAAATTGTCTATAAACATACAAGTATATAAAATATATCTTTTAAAATACAGATGAGACCATATCATACATATCTGTTCTATACTATGTTTTTTTAAGTCTTGCTTGCTTTCCATATTACTATATATAAATCCATCTCATTTAAAAATCTTCATATATTTCATCTACTTAAGAGTTCTCAATTATATTAATAGAATCGAATTATATTAATAGAACATCAATACACAAAGTTACAATTATGCAAAATCATGGCACCTTATAAGCATTTTACAATTTTAACATGAATATTCTCCTCTAGTTCATAAGGAGCTATGCACTTTGAGAGCACCCAATAAATACCTATTTTGATTCCCTCTATCTCAGAATAATTTTTTGGTTTTTTGGAGTTTTTTTGTTTGTTTTTTTTTTTGAGACAGAGTATTGCTGTCACCCCATGTAGAGCATAGTGGCATCATCATAGCTCACTACAACCCAAACTCCTTAGTTGAAGTGATCCTCCTGCCTCAGCCTTCCCAGTAGCTGGGAATACAGACAGGCATATCCCATGATGCCCAGCTCATTTTTCTATTTTTACTAGAGACAGTCTTGCTCTTGCTCAGGCTGGTCTTGAACTCCTGAGCTCAAGCAATCCTCCCACCTCAGCCTCCCAGAGTACTAGGATTACAAGCATAAGCCAACACGCCCAGCCAACAAATATTTTCATAAAAGTAATATTTCCTTAATTTATAGCTATATACACAGTCATGTGATGCTTAATGACAGGGATACATTCTGAGAAATGTCTTATTAGGCGATTTCATCATTGTGCAAACATCACAGAGTGTATTTACACACACCTAGATGGTATAGTCTACTACACACCTAGGCTATATGGTATAGCCTATTTCTCCTAGGCTACAAACCTGTACAGCATGTTACTGTACTGAATATTCTGGGCGACTATAACACAATAGCAATAATTTGTGTATCTAAAGATATCTAAACATAGAAAAGATATAGTAAAAATATGGTGTAAAAGATAGAAAATGGTATTATCTGTATAGGGTACTTCTTGCAGGACTAGAACTTGCTCTGGGTGAGTGGGTGGGTGGGTGGGTGGGTGAGTGAGTGAGTGGTGAGTAAATGTGAAGGCCTAGGATATTACTGTATGCTGCCGTAGACTTTACAAACATTGTGCACTCAGGCTACACTAAATTTATTTTAAAATTTTTTCTTTCAATAGTAAATCAATCTTAGCTGATTGTAATTTTGTAAACTTTTCCATTTTTAACTTTTTGACTCTTTTGTAAAAACATTTTGTAAAACTATATAAAAATATTTTTACTTATATCCTTATTCTATAAGCTTTTTTTCTATTTAAAAATTTTTTTTAACTTTTTTTTCAAAAACCAGGATACAAACACACAAATGAGCCTAGGCCTAGAGGTCAGGATCATCCATATCACTGGCTTCCACCTCCACATCTTGTCCCGCTGGAAGGTCTTCAGGGCAAATAACACCCATGGATCTGTCATCTCCTATGATAACGATGCCTTCTTCTGGAATACCTCCTGAAGGACCTGTCTGAGGCTGTTTTACAGTTAACCTTTTTTTATAAGTAGAAGGCATATACTTTAAAGTAACAACATAAAGTATAGTAAATATATAAACTAGTAACACATTTATTATCAAGGATCATGTACTATCCATAATTGTATGTTCTATACTTTCTATGAATGGCAGTGCAGTAGGTTTGTTTGCACCAGCATCACCACAAACACGTGAGTAATGCATTGCACTATGATGTTATTATGGTTACAATGTCACTAGGTGATAGGAATTTTTCAGCTCCATTATAATCTTATGGGGACTATTGTCATATATGCAGTCTGTCACTGACTGAAACATTGTTATGTGGTGCATGACTACAATAGAGCAGTTTTTAAATATTTATAGTGGTATATAACTAATAGATGCTTAGTACTTTAACATTCTAACAAATATTTTACAGTATCTATTTTACTAATAACATACTGTATTTTAAGATAAAGTTTACAGAAGATACGGGAGAACAAACCACAGTCCCTATTCTAGTAATAAATGACCAAGAGAATCATGTTCTTAAAACAGTATACAGATGTCAATCATTTCCTGTCCCCACCATACCCTCATCTAAAAGAAACCATTTCAGGTAATCTCAGTTTTTCGGAGACAATCATCCTTCCACTACAATTTTGACCTATTACTTTCTCAGTCTGCTGTACAAATCAGGTTATCCTTCTCTCTTCTGTCATGGGTCTGTTTCCTAAATGTCAGTTTCCTCTTTCTTGATTTACTCCCTTGTCTAGTGCAAACTTTATGTTAATATTACTTCTTGATAAAGGACACATGGATGGTAAATTTCTGGAGATCCTACACGTCTGAAAATGTCTTTATTCTACAATTAGTTTGACGGAGGATAGTGTGGCACTCAATTTTCCCCCAACTTCTGAAGGCATGGTTCTATTGTCTTCTGTATTCCATTATTCCACTGTTGCCACTGAAAAATCTGAAGTCATTATGTTGCCATTCTTTTTCTTTTTGAGACAGAGTCTCACTCTGTTGCCCTGAGTAGAGTGCCATGGAGTCAGCCTAACTCACAGCAACCTCAAACTCCTGGGCTCAAGTGATCTTCCTGCCTTGGCCTCCCAAAGTGCTATGATTACAGGTGTGAGCCACTGTGCCTGGCACCATTCTCATTCTTAATCTTTTGCATATGACCTACTTTTTTTCCCTACAGTTTTAGAATCTTCTCCTTATGTGTAGTACAAAATTCCATAATGATATGCATTGGTATTGGGCAAGACAAATTCATATCCTTCAGGCCTGGGTAACTTTTTTGTATTATTTCTTTGATCATTTCCCCTCCCTCCATTTTCTCTGTTCTCTAAAACTCATCAGACATCTTGGAATGACTCTCTAATTTTCTTTCTCTCCTGTTTCCTTTTTGTCTTTTGGTTCTACTTTCTAGAAGACTATCTCAACATCATCTTCCAGCCTTTCCACTATACTTTTTATGTTTGTTAATGTATTTAAGGACTCTCTTATGAGTGTTTCTTTTCTTTCTTTTTTTTTTTTTTTTTTGAGACAGAGTCTCGCTTTGTTGCCCAGGCTAGAGTGAGTGCCGTGGCGTCAGCCTAGCTCACAACAACCTCAAACTCCTGGGCTCAAGCAATCCTACTGCCTCAGCCTCCCGAGTAGCTGGGACTACAGGCATGTGCCACCATGCCCGGCTAATTTTTTCTATATATATTAGTTGGCCAATTAATTTCTTTCTATTTATAGTAGAGATGGGGTCTCACTTTTGCTCAGGCTGGTTTCGAACTCCTGATCTCGAGCAATCCGCCCGCCTTGGCCTCCCAGAGTGCTAGGATTACAGGCGTGAGCCACCACGCCTGGCCATGAGTGTTTCTTTATAGAAACACTCTAATTCTTATTTTATTTATTCTTATTTCCTTTAACTAAATATATTTTCTTAGTTTCTACAAGGTTTATTCATTACCCTAATTTGTTTGTTTTGTCTGTTTTTCATATTGGAAGCTTTCTTCAAATGCCCAGTAATCCTCAACTATCTGGTCATATGTAAGAATGTGATATTAAAAGGCTGGTTGAAAGTTTTGTCAAATGGTGGGTTTCACTATAGGTTGATCTGACTGAGCTATTTCATTGGAGAGCTTAACTGCAGCAGCTACAGTCTTTTCTCTTGGGCAGGTTAGTTTCCCCTGAAAGGAGAACCATTCTCTTGCCTGGGAGTTAGGCTAGCTGTCCTCTAAATGAGGAAACTGAGCTGGGAGGTCTCATCATTTAGAATTTAGACTTTCTACCCTGTTTTCAATATCACACTCCCAGTAATGTACTGGTGAACTGATTCTAAAAAAAAATGCCTGATCTGTAGCATTTACTATTTTCATTAGTGTTATATATTTCCATCATGGTCAATGTCACACTATGATTGGTTTAACAATCAGTTCTCAAAATTCCTTAATATCTAATAACCAGCACTCACTGGTACAAAAGCTGGCTCCAGCACACCACAAGATCCCCTCCCAGCCTCTGCTATCCCTCAAACTCTCCAACAATAAACCTCTAATCTTCTGCCAAATAGGAGAGAGGCGCTGCCTATTTGCATAGCATGGGGAATAGAATCTAGGATTGTAATAGCTTTTTATATAAATCTTCTAGTTTTTGGCTTCAGTTGTATACCCTACTTCTAGAGGGGCACATGATACTTGTAATTCCTGACCATTTCTGCATCTTGACTTAGGTTTCTATTTCCTCTGTGCTAAGTAAATTACTAATTGTCAATTTGGTTCCCACTTTTAATACTTTATTTTTATCTTTTCCTTCCCCAATTTCCTTATCCTTGTGGATTTATTAATGCCATTTTATTGCAGTTTCAAAAGGAGGTAGACATGACTGTGGGGTTCAATTCAACATGTTTCACTGGTAGCCCTGACCAGGAAATATCTGAACTTGGAAAGACTGTGAGTTTATTCACTGTTCATCATTCTTTCATTTAGTAAGATTTAATGAGCTACTATTATGTGGCCAGACACTGCTTTAAGGTTCCTATGCTACACCATTGAAAATGTTGCTGTCCTCATGGAGTTTATATTCTATCAGGAAATTATTTTGTGTTATTTGCATCTGAATTAACAAATCTGCAAACCATCTCTGAAAAAATGGATATTGTGAAAGGTCAAATGAAACCATCTGCAACTGCTTTAATCTACCAAAAACGAAGTAAATTGTCCTAGTTAATACTGTGACTATAGGAATAAACTAAGTAAACTATCCTTGCTAATACTATGACTAAGGGAACATAACTATACTCATAACTGTACAAAATTATAATTAAATCATAGAAAATATTTTCTATCATGAGAATTTAGCTATGTTCTAAATTTTACTACTAAAAGAGTAAGACAGATGACAGCATGATTGCAGAGCACTGAAAAACAGTTGGCCATTATCAAGAGTAATGATCCCTTTTAGTACAGGTGGAATGAGAATGCTCTTCAAGAAAACACTTGAGATATCTGTGCAGCGTAATGCAGCAACAGTTCAACATTAATATTTTGTTATGCTATATATCAATGGTTCTCAGACACCAGTCTGCAGACAAGTACTGATCCATGACAAAATTTTCACTAGTCCATGGCAAAAAATGTCAATATAAGGTCATCAGTGTCTTTTCTTATAAAGGACTGTCCTTTATCCTGAGATTATATCCTTAATATACTTTTGATGATAAAATGTTCTCTTATAAAGTGACAGTAATGATAGATGGTATTGTTTGTTTTTTTTAATATCTTTACTAACCCAAATAAAAAACTGATAGTTCTATCCTGTTCTTGATGATACTTTGAAATTTTACTGTAAAAAATCTAGTTTCTCTTTGTACTATCGAGGCTCAGGTAATAATTATGATAAAGAAAAAGGCATTTGGGGAAAAAAGAGAGAAAGGCATTTGGATTATCTAAGATTTTAGCAGTTATAGTTAAAATATCCTGGAATCATATTTATAGTCACTGTTAACTCTGAGAAACACAAAACTATACATCTATGACTACTGTAGGCTCTTTAGAATTCAACAATACATAAGTATTGGACTTAAAGCTCATGAAGGGGCAATGTATTATAATAACTGTGGTCTTGGCATAACTGATCTAACAAAATTGGCAGCTCTCATAGCTCTAGGAAAATTATCTTAATGGTATAATGTTGTAGAAATAGTGCTGGATTAGAATCAGGTCAAATATTTAATCCTGGTTTTGCCACTAATTATGAGGCTTTGAATTATACTGCTTATAATTCCTGGGCCTCTATTTTATCATGAAATGAAATGGTTGGATTAGCTAATCTTTAATAATTTGCTTACCCTAAAAAAAAAAATCTACATTTCAACTCCTTTAAATAGATTAGGAGATGCCCATGGTAACAGTTATTCATAAAGAATTTGGTTAAATTATATCATATGTTTCTTGGACAAAGGTTCAATATATTATAGAAATAACCCCAGTTATCCAACTTTGGGGTGGGAAGAGGAGATGGGAAGGCAATATTTGCTTACACAGCTAGACTTTCAGAGAAATTTTTTTACTAGACTTTTACTGGAATAGATGAAGGGATTAAAGAAAGGGAGAGGTCTGACTCCAGCATACCACCTCTCTCTCCCTCTTCTAACGTAGTGGGGGCAGGCAAGAGAAATAAGGCAGGCAAAACTTAACATGACAAACCACAGAACATAAATGGTTAGATTAATTTGCATTGCTCAGGTTAAATGTGATTCCATTCAATGATGATAGACTCTGCATAATTTGTTGGGTTTGGTACAAAATGAAAAAAGTAGAGAAAAAGTACTGTTAAAGACACTAAAATATAAAACCTTTTCCTTTCCTTGCAGCCCCTCTCTCCCTCTCAACCTGTCATGGAGCTTTTAATTTTCTATTTAATGTCATGATGTCATGATCCCCTGGGCTAGAGGATATTCACAGGGCAAATGCAGACCCTCACACGTGTCTAAGGCCCTCATCATACAGCTGAGCATGAGCAAGATCCACCAGTTACCAGGCTTCCCTTCCTGCCAGCTGCTGGACCCTTCTACCATGACCTGACCACAGGTGGGGAAGTAAATCTTCCCCTCACCCCAACCAATGTCAGATGGGTGACTCCCAAGGGATTTCAACCACCCAGAGTGATGCATTCAGTACCTGGACTGGGGATTCGCCCCGCCCCAGGCCCCAGCGAAGTCTCCTGCCTAACATGTCAAGGCACTGCCGACCTGAACAGGGCCAACTATTGCCATGCCTCGCCCCACAATGCTGTGGGGCACATGTACTCAACCTAGACCCTCCCTGCCTACACCTAGGTGCCCACCAAGTAAGGTTAACAGCAGAACATAGGCCTTTCCCTGCAAATGTGACCCAGTTGGCCTGCAGCAGTGGTGGGATAGGAGCAGGGAAGCAGCACCCAGGCAGGGCCCAGGGTGGCAGAGGGCAGAAGAGCCAGCAGCTAAGAACCAGACCTGGAAGGTAGAGGGGAAAGGACAATGCCTGAGCTGAGGCTTTAAGCCTCACTCAAACCTCCAGCACATACTCCATTGTCCCACAAGACTTAATTTACAAAATGTAAATTCAAAGATAAAAATTAACAAAAACTTCAAGACAGTGACCATGAAATATTAAACCTGAAGCAGGAAGCCCTTCTGAGTATGGGTCCCTATGCAACTGCACTGGTTATATACTTATGAAGCTGGCCCTGGTCTCTACTGATGGTAGTCTCCATGTGGGAGGTGACTGTAGTTTTCATGGGAAACATTCTGCTTTACCCTGTTTCCTTTGCTACCAAGAAGCTCTTTCAAAGGGGCAGAAATATCTTCTACTGGCCACCTCAGCTGAACATGCCCCCAACTTCTCGGAGTTGGACAACCCATCAGTTGGCCCAGTGACACCCAGGGCAGTTCCTGCCCCTCCCCCAACCTCTACATTCCTTCATGTGGAGCCAAGGAACCACCAAGGTTCTCTCTTGTACACCCTTCTAGAGTCACATAGTATTAGAACAAGCATAATACACTTTAAGCCTCATTGGTGCAGATTACTCCAAAAATTTATTTTTGAAATTTCTAGACCAAAACTGGGCATCAGTTGTTATGTTTGTGGTAAACTTCCAAACTTTAAGAAACATATGCCAACCTATTCCACATGAACATATCATGTTCTACTCCACTGGCAACACTAAAGTAAACCATTAGCTTTCTACAGCATCTCAAGTACCTATTCAAGGAACAAGATGGCAGTCTCTCCTTGTTGTACCTCAATCATTACAAGAGATTTTCTTGTAGACTCCTTCACTTAGCTTCATGAGAGGATGTAAGAGAAAATCTTTGAAGCCTGCACTCTCAAAATATCAATGACCATAATGTCTTTCCCTCCCCAATCATTTTCTTATATATACTAGAAAGAGGATGATGAGGTGATTATTGTGGTAATAGTGCCAATTTTATCATCTTCCTGTAAAGAGGGATCTGTCCCAAACTTCTGAGAGCTGACTGATTGCCCTCTTAAAATGTGGTTGACATTTTCACCTTGTATTTTCAGTATTAGATCATGGCCACAATTCTAAGACAAAGAAAAAATCCCATTCACCCTGTGACAAAATGAAGTCAGATATTTGATAAAATTTAACATTTAACTAATGACTTAAATATTGAAAAATATATATTCATTATTTTAGGCACTGATACCAAATTGATGAAGGAGGTCAGTATCTTACCTCTAGAATTCAAAATCATCTCAATAAAATTAGAAAGAGGAATGCAACTAAACAAGGGAAGTCATTAGATGGAAATATACTAAAATATATATGTATATATAAACCTGATTGTTTTCTTTTAGCACCTTCAATTCTGCCTCCATTTCAGAGTTAGCTTGAATTTGTTGCTGAAGTAACTGCTGCATATGTTGGAAAGAAATGATGATATCCTTGAAAAACACATAAATATACTATATCAATTTTTTAAAGTTTTAAGATAATAGTTATGTTTCTAAACTCATTCTTCAAATATATTTTCTAGTTTATTAACCCATTATTCTTACAGTTAATTTTAATACTTTATATTAAATTAATTAAACATTTTGCAATTTAATATCTAAAATAATTTCTATTACATGATTTCCTACAAAGTAAAATTTCCAAGACTCCCTCAAATAATTAATAGTTTTTTAAATGACTGTAGACTCTAAGACATTATTGAAAAATATGAAGAGTTCAAAACTAAACATTTGTTGGCTTATGCCTCCCAAATAGTAAATATATCACTAATAAAATGTCATATGGGCTATAATATTATAAAATGTCATAATGGGATGTCATGGTATGCATTCAGAATCAGAAAAAGGAAACAGGAGTAATTTTCTCTCGCACACCTTTAAGAATTACAAATATCAAACAGATTCAAATAAGAGCATACTATCCTGAAAAAGCACACACTAAGCATAAATGCATTTCAATAATTATCTGCTAGGGTACCACTGGTCTGAACTATCAAGGAAAAAAACAAATTTATTTTTTAATGGAAGTATATGTGAGACTGCTTTAAAAAGTATACGTGTCCATTCCATACACATTAACTGAGTGCTTACTATGTGCTATGCACTGTGCTAGGCATGACTGCATATATTATTTAACATGTTTATTTCCCACATTGTATCTGATTTTTAAACTATTTACTGGCTTCCAAAATTGCTTACTTGTTTTTCTGCTTGAACACGGGTAACCTCTTCATTAATCTTCTTATTTAATTCCAATTCCTTTTAAAATTTGCACAATTTTAGTTACGATATAAAATTGAACAAATCCTACATTAAATTCAGTGCTCAACAAATTTGGGGGTGTCATGACCTATTATTACCTCAGAGGACCCATATTTGTTTGTGGTTGTAACAGTGACTTCAGTCAACTGAAGAAGGTATTATACACCCAATACAGTCTGGTGCAAACTTGTAAATGTTAAAAACTACAAAATTTCTCATCTCCAAAGCTGTTCTGGAGATACCTTCAATACCACAAGATTAATCAAAACCATATTAAAGTAGAAATAAAATGGTTAAAGCCAAATTTTATTGTCCTAAAGTCTTGCTGATGGCAAAAAATATCTAATAAAAGAAAAAATTCCTAATACCTTAATCTTTTTACTATATATTAATATACTACTTTACAAGGACCATTTTGGTGTTATAATCCTGAAATTCTAATTTTATAAACTTGAATACATTTAACCAAATACCATGTTGAGTCTTTCTTGAAGTTCTTGAAATTTCTGTTCTTTAATTGTCAGATTGATGTTTTCTTCTCCCATCTTATATTGACATGTGACCTTGGACTTTATCAAGTCTGAGGCTACCTTTTTTAGTTCCTTAACATAAGAGACATATCAAACAGAAAATTAGTATGTATATTTTATCAAAGCAAGGTACTTTCCTGACAGCTTCAAAATTCATCTTTAAACCTATAATTATAATTTGCTATATTTTATAAATCAAGATAACATTACTGGTTCATCAAGGTCTATCTCCCCTAGTTTCCTTGGAAGATTAGCAAAGGTGGGAACATAATCTCTGGCTATGAATTAGGCAAAGCCAATCAGAAAGATAGAATGCATGACCCTAGATCTTAAAAAGAATGTACTAGCTAAATGAAGTAACCAGCCAGAATTAGGGTGTTTTCATTCATCACCTATTCAACATCTTCTGAGATAAAAAGATGATAAAGAAATCTCAATTCCCAAGTTTATAAGAAACATTTATGTGAGAAATTCTTACAACACAATGTGATGAATGCTATGTTACAGAAATGTATAAGAAACATAAAGAAGGAAAGTGTTTGAAGGCCTTGAGAAGGCATTACACAGAAAGGTGATATTTGAACTGAATCTTCAAAGATAAATTTGCAAAGAGGACAAAAAAGGGTAGATATTCCAGGTGAAAGGTTCTACATGCACAAAGGCTAGCGTGGTATTTTTCAAGACAACAGAACTAATAAGATACAACTGGAGCTAATACGTTATTTTGGGGGACAGAGTAGAGTATTTGTAGTTGCAACTAGAAATTTGGCAGGATTCAAATATTGAGAGGGATTTGTATGTCAAACTAAAGAGTTTCAATTTTATCCTACAGAAAATAGGGAATTAACCATTGAAAGATTTTGAGTAGGAGAATAACATAACAAGATTTGCATTTCAGAAAAATAGCTACTATGTTGTAGAGAGTGGAACTGAAGATATAAAAGAAGCCTTCATTTGTGAAGTTACTTGTCCACTGAGTGTAGCAAATACCAATCAACCATATTAAAATCCTGAAACATCAACTTCTGATTATACTGCTGCTGTTCTGTATAGACTATACTGAATACTCAGGGATCTGATTTTCACAATCTTCACTACACAGCATCTGAATTCCCTTTGTATTTTAGAAAAACTCTACAATATAAGAGACTACTGACCACCAGAGAAGCTGAAATGCCAGATACTAGCTTTATAAGCATGAGTCCAGGCTCTGCTAATCAGATTTACCTGCCTTGGATACTGGATCAGGACCTTGTATCACAAAGAACAAGGACTACTGCAAATCAGTCTGTTGGCAGACAGTAGGGAGAGTGTAGTAACTTCAAGCTTCCATGGGTGACAGTGATACCATGGCAGCAGTAGCAGCATCCACTATGGTCAGCAGCGATGGTACAAGCTGTAGTAGATAGTTTTCAGCAGTGGAAACTGGTTTTATGTTGTGGTCTAGGATACTGCATAGCCACCCTTGTTTCTAACCATTTTTAAAGTCTGAGATGACCAGTATCTTTCCAATAAATTCCTTTGCTGACTAAATCAGCTTGCAATTAAGAATCTTGACTAATATACTTCATTTTAAAAAGATTTTATTATTTGGATAAATAACAACAAACTTTTCACTCTTTCATAGGAATAAACTGGTTCATGATGGTAGTGAGATTATAGGTAATTTTTATTTTCTTCATTATGCTTATGATGAGTGTTTCCTATATTTTTCTTTTTTTTTTTAAGGGTTGAAAATATAATTTTAATAAGATTTACATGAAAAGGGGTAATACCAATATTCCTCCTTTACCAAAGCTGGTAAAAGTCTTTTGGCTTTCTTACAAATGGTGTCCTTTTAATTCCCCAACTATGAGAGAATAAAATTTTTTTCTAGGAAAAATAGAATGGTTGCAGACTGTGTCTCCTACAATGCTTTAAGTATCAAAGTCACTTGCAGATCCTGGTCTGTTGTCATCTAGCCCAATCACTTTCCTTGTCACTTTCCTTGTCCCAGTCTTTCATGAATGCTCCCATCACGAAATCATCACACAGGTTAGTCCAACCTGGGCCCTCTTCTTGATTTCACTGCAGCCTGTTTAGTTTTTGGGTTCTTCCCAGTTGAACTTGTCTCATTTGTACTTCCGTCTTTTCCTCTCGAAACACTGATGAATTCTTTCTTGGAAACAGCTGATATTAACTTAGCATGCTTTCTAATAGAAAAGATTCTAGCTTCTTTAACCTTTTTTTTTTTTTTTTTTTTTTTTGAGACAGAGTCTCGCTTGTTGCCCAGGCTAGAGTGAGTGCCCTGGCGTCAGCCTAGCTCACAGCAACCTCAAACTCCTGGGCTCAAGCAATCCTGCTGCCTCAGCCTCCCGAGTAGCTGGGACTACAGGCATGCGCCACCATGCCCGGCTAATTTTCTATATATATTAGTTGGCCAATTAATTTCTTTCTATTTATAGTAGAGACGGGGTCTCGCTCTTGCTCAGGCTGGTTTCGAACTCCTGACCTCGAGCAATCCGCCCGCCTCGGCCTCCCAGAGTGCTAGGATTACAGGCGTGAGCCACCGCGCCCGGCTTTCTTTAACCTTTTCATCAACATTCTTCTGATGTTTTTGAACAGCATTAAATAACTGCACCACAACCTTTGTTGCAATTCTCTGAAGATTTCTGTTTCTTTGTCTTTGACAACATCTGGCTCTACTCTGCGGATCATTTCCCACTCCAGCCTCTCATCATGCTGATTTCTCTTCTCTAGTCTTTCTTGAACTTTTCTTTTTCCTTTTCCAGTGCTTTGTTTTTGACCAGAATGGAGTGTCTACTTTTAGGAATTTTTTTGTTAAGGATATTAGCCATGGCATATGCCCGGCCCACATTAGTCTCAGCATTGGATTCTGTAGTATTTTCATTTTCATCATAGGGTTCAGCATCATCTTCATTGTCAGCTTTTATTGCTTCATCATCAGAAGAAAAATCACCCTGCTATAATTCACAGCTTCCTATAGCACCTTCGCTGTCAGAAGCATCTTTGACCTCATCTTCCAGCTCCGATGCTATGGCGTTGGCTTCCATTTTCATCTTCTTTGGGAATTTTTTCAGCTTTTCCCCTTCATTCACATGTGAGTCCTAACGGCCGCCTATATTTTTCTAAAATAAAAACATTTCTTGTGCAGTTTTTAAAATAGTATTTAAAACTATGGAAACAAGTAAAATCACTGAGAGATTTATTAGAGGATAGAAGATAAGTGATTGAGTCCTAAGGAACTCCAACATACATAGATTGGAGAAGTCAATATAGAAGGCTAAGAATTACAGTCAACTGAGGCAGAAGGGAATCCAACAAAGTGTGGTATCAAGGAAGCTGAAAGAGGAGCAGTAGAAAACAGGACTGCCAATACCTCCGGAGTTCTGCCTGTTACAAATTCAGCCCCCTAGAGAGAAACTCATCCAATTATATCTTGACCTCAAATTCAAAATCCAGGAGAAAGGACTCATTGGTCTTAGGTCACGTACAACCTTTGGACATGTGCAATGCATAAAATAACTGCTAAACTAACCATGTGAGTCAAGAGTTAGGGCTATCTTCTCAGAAAAGCAGGCAGACAAATTAATGTCTGGTACAAATAGAACAATTAGCATATAGCAAAGTAAGGAAAGTAAGTTTGAATGGAGGAGGTGATGTAGACCTTGAGCTGGGCTTTTAAGTATGAGTAGTATGTTGGATAGCTTCCATTTGTCCTTCCTGATTCACTTCATACCCTTTCTCCACATTGCTTCTATGCCCTGTGTGGCTGAAATCTGAGCAACCTCCCATGTTCTGGCCTCTGGTTAGGTTAAATGTGTTGGAGGTATCACTAGATCAATAAATAGGCCAGGCAGAGAAAGAGTGAGGTATTTCCCCAGCTCCCTCTCTACCTGATCACAAATTGGCAATGGCTCTGTACTTTTACCAAAGATCACAGCTTCTGACTAGTGGCTTTTTTCTAGCATCTGCTTTCATTCCCTTGTCCCTTCAGGTGTGGTAATCATTCCCCCACTACTTTTATCTGTGGGTTGCTTCAGCACCCCTTGTTTTCCTTACCTCTGTCCACAACTGAGTAAATAGCTTTTTCAAACTTTTCCAAATTACCCATTTCAAATGTGCCATCTGTTTCTTGGCCCAACCATGTTTAATACAAGCAAATTGAAAGAAGGCATTTCAAGCATGGTACGGGAATATGGAAGAAAACAAAAGCAAAAAGGCAGGAGAACTAAGAATTATGCTAATGGCAATAAAGGATTTTGACTAACATGAAAGGAAGATGCTTGATAGGAAATGGTAGCAAACAATGTTGAATATGGAGAATTGCCCACACCATGGAAGCTCTGGAAAGCCTACTGAAGAAGTCTGTGACTTGATTTGGTAGGCAAAGGAGAACTATTTAATTTAACATTCCTTCTACATATACTAGGTACTTACTGTATGTCAGGCACATAAAACTGATACATTAAACTAGTAATATAGTAAACTTAGTCTGGCAAAAAAGAATGAATAAAAAAGCTGCATGTGGTGGCTCATGCCTGGAATCCTAGCACTCTGGGAGGCCGAGGCAGGCGGATCATTTGAGCTCAGGAGTTCGAGACCAGCCTGAGCAAGAGCGAGACCCTATCTCTATTAAAAAAAAAAAAAAAAAAAAAGAGTGAATAAAAACTAGAGAAAACATTGGCTAAGAAACTATTATATTAATCTAGGCACGACATGATGAGTGTCTATACTATTACAAAACAAGAGAATGAAAAATATGAGACATTCTAAAGGAAAATCTAATAGACTGGAATGAAGGAAAAAAGATGATTCCAGAAGCCAGGCACGGTGGCTTACGTCTGTAATCCCAGCACTGTGGGAGGCTGAGGCAGGAGGATTGCTTGAGGCCAGAAGTTTGAGACTAGCCTGAGCAACACAGTGAGACACCATTATACAAAAAATTTAAAAATTAGCCAAGCGTGGTAGCACACGCCTGTAGTCTCAACTACTCAGGAGGCTGAAGTAGAAGGATCGTTTGAGTCCAGGAGTTTGAGGTGGCAGTGAGCTATGATTGCACCGCTGCACCT